TTAAAAAGCTTCTGCATTACAAGAGAAACCACCAAGAGAGCTAAGAGACAACCTACAATGTGGGAAAAAATGTTACCAGCTGCTCCTCAGACAAGAGCCCACTATCTAGAACATATAAAGAACTCAAAAAAAAAAAAATCAGACCCCCAAATGTAAAGACCCAATTCAAAAATGGACATCTAGGGCCAGGGATGTAGCTCAGCAGTTTGGTGGCCTGCCTTGCAAGCACAAGGACGCAAGTTCAATCCCAAGTACCAAAAAAAAAGGAAGAAAGCAAAAATGGGCATCTGAAGCGAACAGACATTTCTCAGCCAAAGAGGTAAAAGCAGCAAATAAATATATGAAAAAATGTTCAGCATCACTGACCGTTGGAGAGAGCAGATGGAAATGACTCTGAGATCCCTCTCACCCCAGAAGGAACGGCTGCTGTCCAGAAATCAACCAGTAACACATGCTGGCGGGCTGTGGGGGAAGGAACCCTTTCCACTGTTGGTGGGAGTGCAGACTGCAGCAAGCACTGTGGAAGTCAATATGGAGACACCTCGGAGAACTAGGAGTAGAGGTCCCAACTGACCCAGCCATCCCTCTGCTGGCTTATCTTTCCAAAAGAATTAAACGAACCATACCGCAGCGATATATGTACACCCATGTTTACACCAGTGCAGCTTGGAATAGCTAAAACCTGGAAACAGCCTGATTGCCCATCAGCTGGACACTGGGTAAAGAAGATGTGGTTTTTCTATAAAATGGAGCACTACTCAGCCATTAAGAATGAAACTATAGTCATTTATAGTTAAGTGGATGCACATCGAGGCCATACTCTTCAGTGAAGTAAACAAGACACACGTGTAAAAACCTAATCGTTTCTCTGGTGTGAAAGCTAAAAGTGTAAATAAGGTTCAAATTGTATAATTGATAATGTAAAATAGGAAGAAAAGGGCTAAAGGAATAGGGGAAGTAGGAAGGGGAGGGGAAGGGAAGGGGGAAAATATGAGAAAAGGAAGAAATGGAAACAAAGTCTTTGTAAATAAGGAAGGGGCAGGGGGGTGAAGGGAGGGCAGGGAAGGGGGAAAAAATAACCAAGACCTGTCATGGAAAGGTGCAAGATCCCCGTGATGAATGTAACTGTACTGTGTACCTAAAAGGTACAATAACCTTAATGAAAAAATAAAAGGACTGGCTTCTTTCACTTAGCGTGATGCCTTGAGATTCATCCAAGTCATCGTGTGCATCAGCAGTTAATTCTTTTTTATTGCCGAGTGGTATTCTTTGTAATATATATATATTTATTTTGGCAGATTAATATACACAGATTCACACACACACACACACACACATATATTTATTTATTTGGTACCGGAGATCGAACTTGGGTCCTTGCGCTTGGGAGGCAGGAATCAGAACCACTGAGCTAAATCCCCAGTCTGTATAAATATATTTCATTCATTTATTCACCCTTTGAAGGACATTTGGGAAGGAAGGAAGGAAGGAGCAAGCTAAGAAGGAAGATCTGGGCATAGTGGCACACGCCTATAATCCCAGCACTCAGGAGGCTGAGGCAAGAGGATCACCTTGAGTTCAAGGCCAGCTTGGGCTACATAGGGAGTTCAACACCAATTTGAAATACAAAGCAAGACTCTATCTCAAAAAGTAAGGAAGGGGGCTGGGGATTTAGCTCAGTCGCACTGCACCTGCCTCACAATTGCAAGGTCCTGAGTTCGACCCCCAGTACTGCAAAAAAAAAAAAAAAAAAAAAAAAAAAAAGCAGGGGAAGGGAGGAAGAAGAGAGGACCAACGTTTAGGTCAGGTTTTATTTTGGTACCGGGGATCAAACTCAGGGCCTTGTGCTTGTGAGGCAGGCAATGGAATCACTGAGGTAACTCCCCGGCTGAGATGGGCTATTTTAGTTTAGGGGAAACACGAATACAGTGGCCATAAACATTTTTGTCCAGGTTTTGTTTGAACAGGCCCAGCGGTGTGAGAGCATGGGATGTGCGTCCGTCAGACTTTGGAAGAGACCGCCGCCTTGCTGCACTCCCACCAGCAGTGTGCAGGGCTTCCAGTCGCTCTGCATCTCCACTTGGACTTGGCATTACCGGTATTTTCTGTTTCTGCCGCCCTCGTAAGTGTATAGTGGTTTTTAACTTGCATTTCCCAACGGCTGGGGATGCTGGACACTTTTTACGAGCTGCTTTACTGCCCATATACCCTCCATGATGAAGTGTCGTTTCGGATCTTTCGCCTGGTTTTTCCTTGGGTTTTTTGTTGTTGAATGTTGAGAGTTCCAGGTCCTCCAATGGAATGTGGTTGGCATAGTTTTCTGATTCTACAGATACACTTTTTATTCTGTTAGTGCCCTTCCTAGAACAGAAGTTACTGTATTTGTTTCATAGCCCAGGTAGACCTCACACTCACAGTCTGCCTGCCTTCGTCTTCCAGGTGCTGGGATTACAGGTGTGGACCATCATGGCTCATTTAAACTTTTAACTTAGATAAAGTCTATGTCATAAATTTGCTATTATGAAGTGTGCTTTGGTGTTGAGAACTCAGTCAAATCCTAGGCCACAAAGATTTCTTCCTATGTGTCATTCAAGGGCTGGGTTTTTAGCTCAGTGGTTCCACCACCTGCCTTGCAAGCGCAGGGACCCCAGTTCAATCCCCTGTACCAAAAAAAAAAAAAGCCTTCTTTATCCTATGTTTCATTCAGAAGTTTCGTAGTTTCTAATTTAGATCTATGATCCTGTGTTCATTGAGATTTGAAGTTTAGGGTGAAGTTCATCTTTTTTTCACCTGGCATCATTTGTTAAAAATACTACCCTTTCTCTGTTGAATTGTTTTTGCATATTTAATCAAAAACCATCGGCCTGGAATTTAGCTCAGTGGTTCTACTGCCTGCCTTGCAAGTGCAAGGTCCCAAGTTTGATCCCCAGTACCAAAAAAATTCATTTGGCCAGGTAGTATAATTCTTACAACTTTATTATTTTTCAAAAAAAATTTAGTTGTTCTAGTTCTTTTGCTTTTTTACATAAATTTTAGAAATAGCTTATCTGTCCTGCAAGAAAATTTGCTGAGATTTTTTTATTGGAATCAGCTGAAATCTATAGACCAGTTTAGAGAGAATTGATATCTTTTGGTATATAGTGTCCGTAAAGGTGATATGTCTCTCTATTGATTTGGTTAATTGATTTTTTTTCAATAATTTATATTTTCTGTTATATAGATCATGTACATATTTGTTAGATTTGTGCCTTAGTACCTAACATTTTTGCAGTTATTGTAAGTAGTTCTATTTTTTAAATTTATAATTACACATTGCTAAGCATTACTTGTATATAGAAATACAGTTTTTTTTTATGTTTACCTTGTATTCTGTAACCTTGCTAAACTAATTTATTAGTTCTAGGATTTTTTTTTTTTTTTTTTTTTTAGTATTCTGATATCTTCTTGTTGTTTTTGTTATTGTTGTTGTTTTGAGACAGGGTCTCACTATGTAGTTGAGACTGACCTGGAACTCACTATGTAGCCCAGGCTGGCTTGAACTCACAGCGATCCTCCTGCCTCAGCCTCCCGAGTGCTGGGATGACAGGCATGCACCACCACTCCCGGCCTTCTTGTTTTGTTTTGAGATATTCCCCTGAGTTTCTAACCCTGAACTCCTGGGCTGGCAGCCTTCTGAGTAGCTGGGACTATAGATGTGCCCCAAGGTGCCTAGTTTTGTGAGATTTTTTCCCCTAGTCAAGCTGCCTGAAAATGTGGTGACAGTGGACATCCTTGTGTCATCCATGATCATAGTAGAAAGTGTCTGGCCTCCCACTATTATGATGTTAGCTCTGTGTGTGTGTGTGTGTGTGTGTGTGTGTGTGTTCACGTGCGTGTGCGTGCATGTGTGATTGGTGACCAGTACCTTCACAGTGAGCTGCATTCCCACCCTACCCCCCTTTCTGAGGCAGGGTCTTACTAAATCACTAAATTGTCGGACAAGATTTAAACTTGCTATCCTTCCTCTTCCCTGCAGAGTTTGAGATTACAGGCATGGACCGTGCCCAGCTGGCTGTGGCCATTTTATAGATGTACTTCATCAGATTCAAGAAGTTCCCTTCTCTTGCTGGTTGAGAGTTTTAATCATTAGCAGATATTGGATCATCATATGCTTTTTCTGTATTATTTGGTAATGATCATGTGATATTTCTTTTTGGGGTTCTTAATATAGCATACATTAACTTTATGTGTGTGATACTGGAGATTGAAACCAGGGCTTTTGCAATGAGCCACAGCCACACTCCTTTTTATATTTTTAATTTTGAGACAGGGCCTCACTAAGTTGCCCAGGCTGGGTTTCAGCTTGTGATTCTCCTGCCTCATCCTCCAAGAGTTCTGGAATTATAGGCATATACCATCACATCTGTCTGATTGTTTTCCATTTTTTAATAAAAGTAAAAGTTTCACAGTAATACAATCTAGTATGATTAAAGAAAAGGAAGTTCAAAAACATTTAAAATTATATTCCTTGGGAGTGTAGTTTATGTGGCAAAACTATAAAGACTTGCAAAGAAATAATAGAGGCACGGTGAGGAAAATTGGTACTTCTGCGTTGGGTTCAGGGCTGCTGGCAAGCCGGAGCAGCCTTCCCAGTGATTGGCCATGTTCTGATTCTCTTAGCAGTACTTGCCCGAGACTGCCATATTGTTCCCCTTTAGGATGCATATGCATTACACGTACTCCTGTGTCCACTTATCAGTCATGTATGTGTTATGTGTGGAAGACAGGCAGGAGGACTCAGTCTGAATCCATCCTAGGCAATTTAGTGACTTAGCAAGACCCCGCCTCAAAAGACAAGAAGGACAGGGAATGTAGCTCAGTTTGAAGGCTCTAGGTTCAATCCCCAGTATCTCAAAAAAAAAAAAAAAAAAATTGTTTGTCTTGGGCCACCTGACCTGCTGAGGAGCACTGTGTGCCGCATTAGTTCCTAGACACCATACTGACCCACCCTGTCACCACAGGAATCTCCAAAACCTGCTCATCCTGACTGCCATCAAGGCCGATCACACACAGGTCATGGAGTACATCAGCCGCCTGGACAAGTACGATGCCCCTGACATTGCAGGCATCGCCATCAGCAACGCACTGTACGAGGAGGCCTTCGCTATCTTCCACAAGTTTGGTGCCAATGCCTCGGCGATCCAGGTGGGTGCTGCGCGCAGTCTTGTTGGGCCCTGGCACCTCGCGCTGCTCTGCACAAACCCCAGTGAGTCATGACCACTGTGAGAGATTCCCAGGCAGATCCCCAGGCACAGAGCAGGAGCATGAAGTGGCTTCGTTAGCCGGCGGCTCAGCAAGGGATTCAGATCGCCTCGAGAGCACCAAACAGAAGTTTACTCCTATTTTTACGTCTTTCTGTTTCGTTAGGAAGGGGAAACAGCAGCTGTGGATGCTGGGGAAGTAGTCAGACACAAGCAGAGGAACCGTGAAGGGGAGCAGGAAGGTTCGGCAGGGCTCTCCGAGATCACCTTGCTCTAGTGAGTTTATTACGTTACAGAAGTGGTCGTAGCTACAGTGTATCTTTCACCATGGAGAAGTTTCCATTTCCTTTCTCATCGTGCCCTTTGTGGCTCGGATTGAAGAGCTTTATTTTCCATACCAACCCTCATCATCAAAATCTGTGTCTGAGACCTCCCACAGACTGATATTCTTTAGTACATAAGACCCTGGAGGTTGTTTTCCAGTCTGTTGTGGTTTCTCTCACAGTGTTTAGAGCCCACTGTGGATAACAGGCAAGGGATAAGTAGGCAGATTCCCATAATAGCTATAAAACCTATCACTGTCTTACACCTTCTAGACCTGAGAACCATCCATCCTTTCTAGGTCTGGGCTGGTACTGTTATAGCCATTTCAGCGAAAAGAATCACACCATGAAAGAGGTCCAAATTCAAAGTCCTTTACAGCCAGTCACCAAAGGGTGGGCTCCCACTCCCAAGTCCCTTTGGCACCAGTCAAGCAGGGAAGCCCAGTTTTTAAAGGGCTTTAAAGTTTAACCACACAGTAGAATGTCATGATCTTATCTTTGAGCAAGCACAGGGGTACAGAAGCAGATTGCATGTTAGATTAAAATCCAATTTGGGGGATCCAGCAGGAAATTCCCATCTTTATGGTTAGGGCCTCAGTATAACATGTCCTGTCCTTTGTTCTTAACCACAAAGTAAGCTATGTACTGCATAACTTCACTTTGAACAAGCAGTCCAGGGAGGAAAAGGGGTAAAGTTCAGGCACAGGCTATTGGGGGTTTCTGGTTAACTCTCTTACTTCAGTACATAGGCTAACTTTTTTTTTTTCCCCCAGTGCCCAGGATAGAACTCAGGACCTTCCACTTTCAAGGCAGGCCGGGTACCACTGAGCTAAATCCCTGGCCCCCCTCTTGAATTCCTTTGATGATCTCTTTTGCCCCGATCGTCTGTGGAGACAACAGTTAGATTGAACTTTCCACAGACTTACCCTTCTTTGCCAACCGGTCATCTGAGGCCAGTCCATTTTTATATACGCATTTTGGATCTTTGATGTTTAGCGGTTTCATTGGTTATCATTTCTAGCACAGGTTGTCGTTGAGCTGTTGTGGTTAGCATGTAGATGGGGTTCTGCATCCCTGCACCCCCTCAGCCCACGTGGCCGGCCCGGAGTGTGCTGTGATCCTCTCCGGAGGTGGCTCGTCATCTTTCCAGCTGCCTGTCACTGTCTTTCTCTTGCAGGCGGAAGTGTACAGGGCAGGGAATCTCCCAGTAGTGCTTCTTGGTGTAGAGGCCAGAAGGAGGAGGAGACAGCTCCCTGCCCCGCTGGATGGAAGTTGGGCATATGCCCTCTTCCCACATACCCGTATAGCCCTTTGGGGCAGACCAGTGGATGGGGGCAATTATGTTTTTCCATCCTGGGCTCAGATTAGGAAATTGCGCTAAGGAATTAATCTCGGTTTCACTTCCCCACCATTCTAATGAGGCTTCTTTTAGCCTCGTTATAGAACCTTTGTCCTAGGCAAGTCAGTTCTCCAACTTGGGCCTGGAACTCTTTTTCCCTTTCGAGTGTAATGCTAGCCTTAAGGATCCACAGGTTGCTTCCTTGTAAGGAAGGTTTTATATTCCTGTCCTTTTTGTCTTCTTCCAGTGCTAGCAAGGTCACATTCCCTAGCCCCCCATGGCCACTGATTCCCCTACCAGAGTTCTGCTGCAGACACAGCATGATGTAACATTGAGCCAACGTGCTATGCTTTCTGGTAATCCCATGAGGTTTCAGGCTGTGGAAGGGATCTGTTGCAAAGGCCAAGACATTGCCTTGTAATAGGAATGAAAGACCCAGAAGCTGGGGACCGCTGGGGAATAGGTGAGCCTTCTACTAAGGATCAGTGTTCCCAGGGCATCACCTCTCCCATCTGTCCAAAGCCAAGAGGCTTTTCCTTTTTTCCATTCTGGATTTTGAGGGTCTACGATGTTTAAAGTGACCGGGTTACATGTTCCAAGTTTTCAAGGTGTTGGAGGTGACCATTTCTTTAAGGGAGACCCTAACTGCCAGGTGGCCTACCTCCTACAGCCCCACCGGGGGCACCCGAAGTCACCTACATGTTCACCGCCACCTCACTTCCACCACCGGTGGTTGCTTCAGGTGCACATGTATCTGTTATTTGTGCTATACATACGCTCCTTCCCATCGCAGGTCCCCGCATGCCCCAAGATAGATATCCTTTGTTGTGGTGGAATTGTTGGCCATGGAAGCATCAAAATAGGAAGCCACTAGCTCTCCAGGCCTTGATCGCATGGTTTTGTTTATGAAGGGTCCTATCTGAGGATTATTTAGATTCACTGGCTGAAAAAGTAGATGTTTCTCTTGGTACATCTATAGTATAGAGCTCAAACTCCCAACTAGTTTCTATCTGTGGGTTAAAGCAAATGGGTGGACTCCCGTCCTTAGGGTTATAGACCTCGTGTGTAGTCAAGTTGTGGGTGCAAGTTCCACCGATTGCTCCTTCACAAACATGCAGGTGTGGAAAAGCTGAACGGTCATAATAGTGCTCCCTGTCCAAGTGACACTCAGGCAGGAGTCACTGTTAATAGCCCTGGTGGGAGCTGTTCCATGCATGTTGTTCCAGGTGTGGGGGAGATGAATACCTGTAAAACATCCTGTCCACAAGAAAAAGATGAGGGCTAACACCTCTTGCCACATTTCCAGTCAGCTGAAACAGTCCCAGCAAGGGCAATAGCAAGAAGCCGGGGGCGGGGGACTCTAATGAACAGCGAAGGATGACAGTTCACTGCAGATAGTCACAAAGGTGTGCAGTGTCCCCAGGCTTCTGCTGTGCGTGGACTCGTGAGCCCCGGAGTGACTAGAGCATAGCTGATACCTTCTGTCAGTTCTGGCATGGTCAGGACGACCTTCGTATCGTGATGCGGGTCTCTGGAGCCCCCCACTCTGGAGTGACTGCCTCTTTCACTATGGTTGATGACTCCCCCTACTTTCCATTTGGGCTTGAGGCTGTCTTATCACCAGACTTTACCCAAACTGAATCTCTCAGAAAGAAGGGGTAGAGTGGACTAGAAATTATAACAGGGGCCCTCTCTAAGGCCCAAGAGGCTATCTTGGTGAGACTTTTCCTGGTTCAATCAGTTCTTTTTAAGGTTGTTTCCTCTAATGTCCTTATAGGGTGTGCTGGTCCTCTCAGGACAGGGGGTGGCCTGGCAAACAGAAGCTCATAGGGTGAGTAGCCTGTTCTCTTGTGGGGAATGCAACATGTCCAGGGAAGCCCAATGGGCAAGGCCTGGACCCAGCTGAGTCTGGCCTCTTGGCAGAATTTTCCTAACCCTACTCTCAGAGTTCTATTCATCTGCTCTACCTTTCTTAAGCTCTGGGGCCGGTAGGCTCCTTGTACATTCCATTTAATCTCCGAAGCCTTTGCCACCCTTTGGACCACTGTTGCCATAAAAGCAGGACCGTTGTCTGATCCTGTTCTTAGTAGAAGCCCATAGCAGGGAACGATTTCTTGTAGCAATTTTTGTGCCACTTCTTTGGCTTTCTCTGTCTGACAAGGGAAGGCTTCTACCCAGTTGGAGTGAGTGCAAACCATAACCCCTTGGTAGCTCTGTTAAATCAACCTGGGTATCTTCAGAAGGCACTACCCCAATCCTTTGGACCCCCACCAGGACGCCTGGTGTTGTCTTTGGATTGTGTTGAGCACATTACACACAACTGGACAGTTTGTTTGGCCAGAGGTGTCAGTCAGGGGATATAAAAGTAACAGGCAAGCGGAGCCTCTAACTTTTCTTCTCCTGGGTAGGGCAGTCTCATGTGTAGCTTGTATTAATTGAGGTCCCACGTAGTATATGTTAACACAGTTCAGCCATCTGGAAACCGGGACCTTTTCCTTTGATTTCCCCTCCTTCTGAAACCCATTAAATCTCCTCTGAACTCTTACTATTTTTCATCTCCTTCCCAAGGTACCAAGGAAAGGAGAGTGGTGTCTGGCCATAAACTTGCAGCCTTGAGTTCTTGGTTGGCCCTGTCATTACCTAGCTTAGATTTTCCCTTTTGATGTTCCCTGCAATGGACATCTGCAACTTCTTTTGGAGCCCAGACCACTTCTAGGAGTTGAAGTGTGTGTGTCCTAGGGATATTTAATTTCTTTTCCCCCTGCTGTACCCTCTTTCTCACTAGAGGGCACCATATGCCTGCAAAGTTAGGAATGTGTATCAAGGCTGTAGACGTTCGGTCTTTCCTTTTCCTAACTTTGATGCACAAGCTAGGCCAATGAGTTCAGCCCTCTGAGCAGAAGTTCCTTGGGGTAGTGGTCAGGACTCTACAGTCTCTTCTAGGGCCACAACTGAGTAACCAGTCCGCTGTTTCCCAGTTTTGTCTATGTGACTACTTCCACCCACAAAGAACTCCAAGAGAGGTTGGTCTCGCAGATCTGGCCAGCTGGAGTACACCTCTTCGGTGGCCTCTTCATAATCATGTGTGGGCCCTTTTGGCTAGGGAAGGAGGGTAGCTGGTTAGGTTAAGAGACTTCTACCCTGATTCAAAGGTTCCCACAGAGAAAACTTTGGTACTGGGTCAGATGCAAATTGGTGAGCCAGCAGGGACCTTTAGCTTTCCTGAGGTGGCCACAGCATGTGGGACTCGCACCGTAGGTCCTGGCCAGTTTGTCAGCCTCTTTGTTCAAGAGAGCAGTTGCGGCCGGCGAGCACCCTTGCGCAGCTCATGTAGTTGCTCGGATAAGTGGCCACCAGTCCTTACCAGGTCCAAGGATCTGGACTCGTACTCTACTGCGATTTTCTTTCGGTCACACAGTGGAAGAATTACTCGATAGGGGAGGCACGAAGCTGGTGCTTCCGGGAGCTTCTCCTTAGGGTCTTGAAAGTGGTCTGTTCTTTGTCCCAGGTCAGGGCATCGTTTTCTCCCCTCTTCTGACTTCAGAGAAAGGCTTAGCTAGGGTAGCATAGTTAGGGATCCATATCCTACAGAAGCCTGAAGCTCCCAAAAGCTCTCGCATTTGCCTCTGAGTCTGGGGTTCAGACGTATTTTGCGTCATCACCTTTCAGGCTGCCTGGTTTTCTTTCCTCCTTGCACAGTAGAACACCAGATACTTCACCTCTGCACGGCATAGTTGCGCCTTTTTTTCAGCACATTTCTTATCCATTTTGGCACAGTGCCCTTTCTACAACCTTCATGGGTCTCATGCCGCAGGAGGAGGCCATCAACATACTGTAGCGGGGTGTACCCCAAGTCCTGCACTGGGGACAGTCAGCAGTCTTGGGCCACCCCTCCCTGAAATTAGCTGAGGAGATCTTGGACTCCTGCAGCAGCCTCATCCGAGCGAGCTGGTCATGGTGTCTAGGACCAGTTGGCCCCCACTGGAAGGCACAGATGGGTTGGCTCTTCGGGGCTCGCTGGATCCAGAAGAAGGCATCGTTCAGATCCAAGCAGGTGAGTCGTCCCACTGAAGCTGGCAACAGCCCCAGAAGAGTATCAGTCAAGGTCTGGGGCAGTGGGATGCGGCATCACTTGTTGCCCGCATGTCCTAGACAGGATGGTGGTGTTGAGTTTCTTTTCTTGACTGGAAGGAGGGGTGTGTTCCAGGGTGACTGGAAAAGAATGAGGATCCCATGATTAGGAGTCTTCCGAGGTGTTGTTGGATCTCCTTTGGGCCTGTTGGGGAAAGAGATACTGTCACTGGGCAGTGGGCATGGCTCCGGGTTAATTAAGTTCTGCTTTGACTAGAGGTTGGTCTGTTGCCAGCCCTGGCAGATTGTCATCCGTCCATAACCTTTCTCTGAACCAAGTCAGTTTTTCTCAGAAGTCTCCATTCTCCTTCCTGGGAGACAGTCAGGGCCAGGATCATCTGCAGAGGCAGCAGTTCAAAGTACCTTTCTCTGTCCCTAAAATCAGTGTGGGCCCTTAACTTGGCCAACAATCCCTCCCTAAGAGGGGAACTGGACAGTCAGACATGTACAAGAACTGATGGACCACCTGGTGGCCCCGTTTCACGAATGCACGGCTGGCAGAAGGCTTGAGCCTCAGTTTGTCCTGTGGCCCCTTGACATCAATTTTCTTACTACTGAGAGATGCAGTGGGGACTGTCACAGCCAAGTAGTCTGCTCCATTGTCAATCAGGAATCCTGCCGGTTTGCCCCTCACTTTCACGCGAACCATAGGCCTGAGGGGTGTTGGGAGCCTGCTCCCCCTCAGCCTTCACATAGGGAGTTTTTTCCCACAGCAAAGACAGCAAGTGGCTTCTCACTCTTCACGGTTTCGACCATCTTTTTCTTCAGCTTTGGACGCTGCCTCTTGTAGTGCCCTCTCCCTCTGCAGTAGGCACATTGATCGTTCTCCGGGATCCCTTCCCCTCCTCCAGGTGCTTTGATTGGTCTCCTGTCCCGTGCCGCTCGTGGCCACCACAGTGAGATCACCTTTCTTGTCACTTGCCAGTTGGCTTCCCTCTTTTTCTCTACATCTCAGTTCACAATTACTTTCTCGGTGATCTCTAACAGCTGGGCATGTTCACCCCGCACAGCCCTCTATCCTTTGGAGTTTCTGACGGAAATTGCTGGCCCTCAGGCTCACCTAGGCAGTGTTGACCATCTGCTGATTCGTAGCGGCCTCTGGGTCCAAGGGGGTACAGGTGCTGTAAGTCTCACAAAGTCGTTCCAGAAATATGCTCTTACCTGGCTTCTGTAGCACTTCATTTACCTTGGTGGTATGGGTCACCTTTTGACGTCCTTGCTTTCGTCCCTGCAGCAAGGTGTGGTAGCCAACCAGTTGGGCCGTCTGATGAGGGCTGTTGGGGTTCTAATTCAAGTCTTCGGTGGGGAGCTACTCTCACAGCTCTGGGGCTGCAGTTGACATGAAGGCTGTCCTGAAGGTACAAGGACCATTCTCTACCGGGCCAAGGTAGAAGCTGACTGTCTTGGGGTTGAAGCTGGTGTTGGTTACTCGTAGAGGAGAAGTTGGTCTAGGAGTGGAGGAGTTATGAAGGGGGGCTCAGCATATCTGAGCGCAAATCATCCAAGCTTCTCTCAAAAATAGGTGGGGTTTTGGCAGACTTCTGCCTGTTTAGGTGGGCCATTGTGGCACCCAGAACTCGGGATAGGGTTCCCTCAAGCAGGGTGGTGGACAGAGAACAAAGGGTGGCTGGGGTGTGTATGCCTGGAAATTGGTCTGGGTGCCCGGGTCCCGACCTTGGGAAATCCTGCCACAGCTTGCCATACTGTCGTGGTTAAAATTTCCTCCAGTGGGCCTTCTGAGGGCCGCCCAACCTGAGAGGGTGGCCAGTCTATTTCATAAAGGGCTCTGAGCTTTCTTGGCGTGAACTTCTGACCAGAGTCCCCAGGAAATCCTATCTTGACGTTTCTGGTCATGGTCTCTCATGGGGTGTTCTTACTTTGGCCCCGACCCATGGTTTTACCTCCCATGAAAAGAGACAACAAACAAGATGCCAGCTGCTTCACCATCACCTGCCGGGCTCCTCCTAGCAGTGACAAGCCAGTGATCCTCACCATCACCCTGGCGCAGCCCTAAACCGTCCAGGGCGCCCCAGCTACAGCTCAGGGCTGGGCTCTCACTTCAGCCCTGTGCGCCCCGATGGGAGGCAGGAATGCGATGCCCGTCTCATTCACACCCAAGCACTCGCAGAACCAAGCCAACAAACGACACTCTCCGTCGCCAGTGGCAGCCTGAATCGTTCGGTCTCACTGTTCCCTGGCAGCTAATTGGGGAACACTGAGGCTGATTGGCCCCTCTCTATAGATCCCTCCTTGGATCTCTTCCCTGAATTGGGCCCCTTCAACCTTACCGTGATCCAGACATCTGCCAAAAGCACGTGAGTCTCTGTGTGCACCTTCCCCAGCCAGTCTCCCGGGATGGGAATCCGTCTGTGGTCACACACCGGGCAGAAGCTTGTCCGGCCGCTGTGCTCCCCTGCTCCGCCAGTAGGGGAGGCAGTCAGCCACAGGGGTCTGTGCTGGACCCCAGAGCCTCCCAATTGGCTTGCCGAATGAAGTGTGGCCACTGTGTGCCAGACGTGGAGTAGAAGTAAAAAGCAGCTTTTACTAGCCAGTAGCTTAGCAAGGAATTCAAATCACCTCGAGAGCACCACACAGCAGTTTACTCCCATTTTTAGACCTCTCTGTTTCTATGGGAAGGGGAAACAGCAGCCACGGTTGCTGGGGAAACACAGCAGAGGGGCAGTGAAGGGGGAGCAGGGAGGTTTGGCGGGGCTTTCCAGGGTTGTCTTGCTCTTGTGAGTTCGCACTGCAGCTCTGTTTGTAGTTACGTCTCCCACAACGGGAGGGATTTCCATTTCCTTTCTCTGTCATCACAGAAGACGTCAGGTGCTTCAGTGGTCAAGGGCAGCTTCTCTTGGACGCTTTCCTCTTCTCTGCTAGTGTCCCTTTCGCTCCTCAGCCTCTCCTAGACTGGTACCTGACACCGGGTTCATGGTTAGCCCTTTCTTTATGCTTTTGTTAGTTTATTTCTTCTCTGTCTAGGACCCTCACCACAACCATCTTCCCATTACAATGGCTCTTGTCTCTGTCAATTCATTCATCCAAGAAATACTTAGTGCCCCCAGTTGCTTTACACTGAATTGAAATTATCATGCAGTTTTAGGCAGAGTAAGCAACCAAACAAAATGTTTATTCCTTGGAGCTGACTAGGTGTTGTGAACGATTGAAGTCCTTCTGTGACCCCTAGGTCCTGATCGAGCACGTTGGAAACCTAGACCAAGCACGTGAGTTTGCTGAGAGATGCAACGAGCCTGCTGTGTGGAGTCAGCTGGCCCAAGCCGAGCTCCAGAAAGACTTGGTGAAGGAAGCAATCGACTCCTACATCAGGGCAGATGACCCTGCCTCTTCCCTGGAGGTGATTCAGGCAGCCACCAAGAGCAGTAAGTGAATACCCTCTCTAGCGCCTTGCTTCTCACTGGTGTGACACATGGCCAAGGCAAGCTTTTGGAGAGATTCCCAGGAATCTCAGTGTATTTTACATCCAGAGAAATCACAGAACACAGTAAGTAAAAGTTTTCCAGATGAATCTGAGATGAATATTACTCTGTTAGTGGTACTAGCTCTTCAGTCTGGTTGACTGTTGCCCTTTTTTATAAGATTAAGCAGTTTAGACACAACAGGTAACTGCAGTTACAGTAATTCTAAGGTCAGTGACTCATCCTCAGTTTCTTGGGGATATTCTTCTGGTATATCTAATTGATTGTGGCCCTGACCTCTCCAGGGGCTAGAATAAGTGCCTATGTGCCTAGTGAAGTCTTTGCTTGGGGACAAGGAGACTCCTGTCCCCAGGAGTGACTCACATGTGACCCTACCACTTCCCTTTCCTCCCTCCTTGGATAGGGCTTATTTACGGGAAGAGCCAGGATTTTGTAGGCTTTACCTGATGCTTGAGCTGCCATGAGGCATGACCGTGAAGATAAACCTATCTGGCTGAGGACAGGTAGGAGGAACTGAGCCTCCATTTAAAACAATCACCTCTGGGCTAACTTGTCTTTGTTTTCTGCACTTAGACAACTGGGAAGATCTAGTGAAATTCCTACAAATGGCCCAGAAGAAGAACCATGAGCCCTATATAGAAACTGAACTTATTTTTGCGTTGGCTAAAACCAACCGTCTATCTGAGCTAGAAGATTGCGTTAAGGGGCCCAACAATGCCAACATCCAGCAGGTAAGTTGGGGCCCCTAGGGAAGGGAACTACCATGGCCATATTTAGGACAGGAATCCTCCTTAGAGTGGTACAAATTCACGATGATGGGAAACAGGCCACACGCAGAGTTACATAACTTCTTGCTATCACTGATTGAAATTAAGACCCTATGGGGTTTGACTTGCCATTGGCTGTGCGCATCAGAATGGCCCTCCTTGCCCGGTGTGGTGGTGCATACCTGTAATTCTAACACTAGGGAGGCTGAGGCAGGAGAACGGCTGTGAGCTCAGGGCCAGCCTGGTCTACATAATGAGACTCTGCCTCAAAAAACAAAACAAAAAAAAATGGCTCCCCCAGAGGAGAAGATGTTAGGGTGTTAGGACTTCAGGAGCAGCTGTTCTGTTTACTGTAAGAAAACACAGGGAACTAGCTAACTCAGAGTTAATAATCTGGACACATGGAAGATATATATTGAAAATTAGTGACTTTCCTGGATGCCCACAACAACCAGGTAAAATAATGAAGAAGAAAAAAGCAAAAAGAATCCCCACCCCTTTTCTGGGGACAAGGTCTTGCTATGTAGTTCAGGCTGGCCTCAGACTCAAGATGATCCTCCTGCTTCAGCCTCCCAAGTGCTAGGATTTTAGGTGTGTGCCACCATGCCCAACAGGCATTCCTTTTTAAATAGAAATAAAACCAAATTGTTTAAATAAACTCTAACCATAAACAATACTAAATAAAAGAAAGATCTAATTAATAATAAAGTCTGACATGCAAGTAAAATATTATCCCCTGGAAAAAGTGATAGAGATGAAGGAATAGTGAAAATGTATTCTAACTGTACAGTAGTACAAGTGTCCTATTCCTGAAAGAAGACACATAATTTGTTAAATAACACAAAAGTGAGTTTTGAATTTTTATTTCAAAATAAGTTCTAATTACTTGTTGAAAACTAGGTTAACATTTTGAAAGGGATGAAAATGAAAAGTTCATCATATAATTCTTTAGTCAAAATAAAATTCCAGATAAAATAATTAAGGTTAAAAACTCATTTTATTTCTTTAGTACAAGTTTTTTGAAATATTATTTGAATCTTTGCATAAGAAAGGAGTTGGGTGGGGTTTTTTTTATTTATTTTTTTGGTACCAGGGATTGAATTCGGGTCCTTGCACTTGCGAGGCAGGCGGCAGAACCACTGAGCTAAATCCCTGGCCCAAGAAGGAGCTTTTAAGCATATAGACAGTGGAAGAAAGCACAAAGGAAAATACCAGTTCATCATTTATTCCACCTTAAACCCCCATGGTATATGCATGACCGTCTATTCGATCTAATCACTTTTATCGTCTTTTTATTAATAAAATTTATAAAGAGTCTATAAATTGGGCCAGGGATTTAGCTCAGTGGTTCTGCCGCCTACTTTGCAAGTGCAAGGTCCCTGAGTTCAATCCCCAGCACCAAAAAAAGAAAAAGAAAAAAAAAGAGTCTATAAGTGGAATCTGGTTAGTTGCTTGAATTTAAATAATTACTACCCAAATATAAATATTAATACTATTCATGCTCATTGAAAATTACTACCATAATCAACAAATTTATTTCATTAAATTTATATTTGTGAATTTCTTTAAAACACTTTAAAACATCATAACATGTTTGACTTTTTTATGGCCATAGCAGCACCCATTTTTCCGGATAATTTTCGATAGCATTCTCTGTATTGCTTGCATGCATTTCTTGCTGTTTCTAAATAAGCTTTCATAAAGTGAGTGTTATTTTGAGTAATTTGTACCTTGGTGTTTCTTCATGGGTTAATAGCTTATCATTAATTAATTCTCAGGCCAGGGATTTAGCTCAGTGGTGCCACCACCTGCCTCCCAAGCTCAAGGTCCCAAGTTTGAGCCCCAGTACCTAACAAAACAAAACAAAGTAATTAATTCTCTACACTTTAACATGGAAATCTTACAAGTATCCCGTTGGTGGTGTATATAATATGCTTGTGCAACTGCTGTACCACAAATTAGCTGTAATACAGCTTTATACGTCTTCCTTAAGGAATGTAATGAGATAATATCTAGTCTGCTCAATCAGTGCCTTTCTTGGCATTATTTTCACTGAAGACCTCCCTGAGATGGGGTATATGCTGCCTGGTGGCACAGTCATACGTGTAACACCAGTGCTTCAAGCTGCCTGATGGGAGAGTCGGTCAGCTCAAATCAGAGCTGCCTAGCAGTGAGACATACGGTGTAGGGCCCCTTTGTGAACATAGTCAAACATCACAGCATGATCTGTACTAATAAAAACTGACCAGTCTCTAACAGAAGGAAGGAGTTAACAACATCCACTGGTGGGATATAGTACAACCTTTAAAACTATTTAGAATCCATTTGGTGAACAGAAGCCTTTCAAATCAAGTTCAAGCAGTGTGAAAAATAGCACACATGATACAGTAAATATGTATGACTGGGAAAATGCTCATGGTGGGAATTGTGAACAACTCAAGGATGTGGAATTAGCAGGATCATATTATTTTTCTTTTAGTTGCTTGTGTTTCCAAAGGTTTTTTTCCCAGTCAGTGATCACATAATTTCAAAAATTGACTTCATAGTCACAAAATTAATCAAAGGCTTGATAATAAAATCTTGCCCGAACTCCCCCTGTGAATTAGTCCTGGGTCCTCCTGAGCATGAAACACTGCTGGGTAGAGTGGGAGGTTCGTCCCTCGTGCTGCTGTGCTGCAGAGGAGGGGATCTCTGCCTCTGGTCACGCTGGCCCACAGCCCGGAAAGCCTGCCTTCTGTGTCTGTCAGCCTGGAGGCCAAGTCCAGCCTATCACCTTTTTGTATGTGTTTGCCAGTCTTATATATGACAGCTCCATCTTTATTGTATCGTTTATTCATTTTTCATGTGTTCTGAGTCTTTTTGTTTATAGTAAAAAGTAAATTTATTAGAAAATGTAACAAGTGTTCTTCACACGTTGCTGAGTTGGTATGTAAACCCCGTGTTATTTTTCCTGTTTTAGCCCCTCCAGCTCCCTCTCTCACGCATGTGCATGCCGTCTCTCTCCTTCTCTCTCTCTCTTTCTCTCTCTCTCTCTCTCTCGTGATACTGAAGATAGAACTCATGATTTTCACACTGAGTTACGTCCTCAGCCCCTTTTCTGATTTTTTGAGATGAAATCTCTCTTGATCCCCAAACCCTCTCTCGTCTTTGCCTCCATCTCTCTGCCTGCCTTTAGAGCAGAACCCATTCAGACAGCTGTCTATCTCCCTGTCTTCACTTGGCCTCCCCACCGGGCAGCCCCATGCTCCCTTCAGGCTTCTGGAACTGCTGTTGTCTGGGTCTCAGGTGGTTTCCATATTGCCGAATGCAGTGGTCAAGTTTGGGAGTGTGCTGAATCTGAAATGATCATAGCTTAGTGTAATACTTCATTCATTTATTCAATACATTGTCACTGAGCTTCTGCTGTGAGCCAGACTATGAAGCTGTAGATGCAGGAGTAAAATAGAAGTAAAATCTGTGCCCGGATAAAGACATAATGGAATATTAAGTGGTTAATTGTGAAGAGGAAGAGGCAGGGAGCTGGGGGTGGGTCAGGTGGGCATTCCAGTGTTAGATTGGGCTTCTAGGTGAGGGCTGAGTCATCCCTCTGCAGGGAGCCCTGAGACCAGACAGAATGACGAATGCGGAGGTGTTTCAGAGTGTGCAGGAGGCCTCGAGCCCAAGTGGAAAAGGCAGTAGAGGGAAGGGAGTTATTGTCCTCACTGTCAGGGCTCACTGTCGGGACTTGGGCTGTCATGCGATCTGCCCTACATAAAGCGGGTGGGGCTAGTGAGGAGTATAGGGACCCAGAACGTGGTCAGGGTGAGTGGTGAAGCACAGTCCCCTGTGGGCGTAACTGAGGAGGTACTGATAGTTTTGCTGATTGTGTCATTATAAGAAGAGAGAGGTTGGGCCGGGGGATTTAGCTCAGTGGTCCTGTGCCTGCCTCACAAGCGCGAGGTCCTGAGTTCGATCCCCAGTACCAAAAAAAAAAAAAAGTCAAGGCCTAGTCCATGTTTTGGGGTTGTGCTTGGGGAAGTAGAAACAGAATAAGGACCGTCATGGGTCAGTCAGGGCCAACCTCTGCAGGAGTTAGGGTTCAGAGAAGTCCAGGCCACAGATACGCACAGCAGCCTGTGGTGCACAAGCGAAGCTCACCGCCCTCCCCTTCCCAGGATCTCACACAGTGGATGTGGCAGTAGGGGTGTGAGGTGAGGTGGCGTGGGCCGTAGCCAGAGGCTGGGCACCCTCAACCTGACAGCAGGGAGAGGCAGAAGTGGGAAGTGGCCCAAAGGTGCAGAAGCACGCAGAGAGGGAAGGACCCGCCACAGTCAGGGGCAAGAGCCTAATTGACGAGGACACGGAGGGCCGGGGACTTAGCTCAGTGGTTCCACCACCTGCCTTGCAAGCACAAGGACCCAAGTTCAATCCCCAGTACCAAAAAAAAAGAGAGGACGCATGGAAAGAAGGCTAGAAGGAGCTGTATTTTATGTTTTGTTTCAAGAGGGGAAAGGAACAGTGGTTCCATAAGGTTGCAGGAGTGGTTTCGTACAGAGGGTGATACTGATACAGGGCTGGGATCCTGACATGCAGCAGAGTGAATCGGGGCTCAGGGGCACCAGTGGAGTTGGACTGGTCGTGAGGGGAAGTGGACAGCCACAGCCTGGTGCTGTGACACTGCTCTGACGGTGTCTGTTCTCTCAGTAATAGGAAGCCAGGTACTCACCTTGAGAAACTTGAGCTGTGAGGAGAGAAGACACGGGGATGCTGGCCAGAAGAGGACATGGGCTTCTCCGACCTGTGTGTAGCTCTGTGGGCCCAGCTAGGGAACACAGAATCAGCTCTGACAGCATGGAGAGCAGCCGAGGCTGCTGAGGGTGAATACCCACAGCCGCACAGCTTGACTGCAGCTGCCAGCCGGGTAACCCGTACAAGCTGGTACAGACAGCGTGGCAGGGGTAGTAGGGAAACTGCTGGAGTAACTTGGTCAGTGGGGTTGGGTATTTGGGACAGTGAAGTGAGCTGGACTGGGGTAGGGGCTGGGCAGAAAGTAGGTAACTGTGAGTCCCTGGGGTAGCAGGACTCTGGCAAGGTTTAAGGTATGGCTGTGGCCGTGACTGGTTACCGTCATGAGGAAGAAAAGGCTGTTGGAGCAGAGCCAGCCAGAGATTGTCAGGAATGAGAAATATCTGTAAGTGGCAGCACAGTGATGCCTGACCCGAGATTCACAGTCCACAGGTTGTAGTGGGGAGAGAAGGGAACAGCCAGGAGCAGCAAGGAGCTCCTCAGCCTGGCCAGAGGGGTTCAGGTGTGGAAAGTGGCACCCAGTGGCAGAGCCTACCCGGAGTGAGGGGAGGGGAGGGCGTCCACGGTTGGGAAACTTGCCTCACCTTCTGAGAACTCTGTGTGATTAGAAAAATGTTCCTTCTGAGGGCTGTGAATGTAGCTTAGTGATAGCTTGTGTGGCATGCACAAAACCCCAAGTTCCATCTCCAGCATCACAATTTAAAAAAACAATGCTTCTGTCAGCCCTAGAGAAACCCGTATGTGCAGGGACGTCTCTTAGCGCTCCCGATTGTCCGCAGGTGGGAGACTGCTGTTACGAAGAGGGCCTGTACGAGGCTGCCAAGCTGCTGTACAGCAGTGTTTCTAACTTCGCCTGCCTGGCGTCCACCTTGGTCCACCTTGGGGAGTATCGGGCAGCAGTGGACAGCAGCCGCAAGGCCAACAGCACCCGGACCTGGAAGGAGGTAAGCGGCAGACTGCTGGAGAGCGCTTTTTGACAGACATTCTCTCTCGTCCCTCCTGATGTGCTCTGCGTTCTTCTGCCAAGCAGCATGAGCACAGGTGCGGACTTGTGGTTCAAGCGTGGATCTCAGTCCTCTGGGATGACTCAGAGAACCTCATGAGCTAGCATATGTGATGGGAGGCAGAGGCCTTGGACAACTCCATGTGACGCCAGCTCACCACTGCCTAATAGCATAGTTACTGTAAATTGGCATTCTCGGTGTTTTGTGGCACATTGGTAGAGCAGCTGTCATAAATCCGTATTGTCTGTAAGTGCACAAGATTTTGTGAAGAGGTGAACCTCTGAAGCATCAATAAGAGACTCAAATCGTTTAAATGTTCAATATTAAGGCCTTGGTTATATTGTGTGTACATTTGCATTCAGTTCCACTTTTCAAAATGAATCGGGGGCCAGGGATTTAGCTCAGTGGTTCTGCCACCTGCCTCGCAAGCGTAAGGTCCTAAGTTTGATCCTTGGTACCAAAAAAAAAAAAAAAAAAAAAAAAAAAAAAAAAAAAAAAAAAAAAAATCAGTCAGCCAGGTGCATGCTTGAAATCCTAGCACTTGAGAGCCTAAGACGGGAGGATCAGCTCGAATTTGAGGCCAGCCTGGGCTACATCGTGAGTTCAAGGCCAGCCTGGGCTACATAGTGAGACCTTATCTCAAAAAACAAAAAGAATATGCAGTCACAGGAAAAGACATTTCCAGTAACATGGGAGAAACATGTCAAGCAGTGTATAATAAAATCCATGATGTGTGTGAGAGTTGGAGGGGTGCTAGTTTATATAGCACACTTGAAAGTAATAGGCCAGAGATTATCTCAGATTGTGACAACTGGGTTATGTGATTATTTTGTTCATCTGCGTCTTCTGCTTTATCTACTTTGAGAACATGGGCTGTCTATTGAGAATGAGGAAAGTAGGGAGACGCAGCAAGCTCAGCTCTGGTTTGGGCCTGGAGTGGTCCAGGAAGCCCTTGTAAGCATCTCAGTTCTAAGGCCCCTCTGTACAGGGACCTGCTCCATGTCTTCATGCCTGTTACAATGCAGAGCATACATAGTTCAGTGCAGACAGCAAAAGTACCACTTGACGTGCTACTCCTACGTAAACCACTCAGATACAGTATGTTCTGATGATACTTACTTTTGAGCTGTATTAAACCCTTTTGAAATCCCAAATCTCAAATTCCAACATGACTCTTTGGTCACCTAAACCAACCTTCACATCTCAAGGCTCGGAAGGAATACGTATGCTTTCTCCCATGGTCTCAAACACCTCTTTGGCCTGCAGATGATGTAATTTTTCTTCCAGTCGGGGGCAGCTCTTACAGTAATGTACTTGTTCAGAGCGCCTTGTTGGCTTACAAAGCCTCCACTTGCAATGCCAGTTACATGCACTGCTGTGGAGCTGGGCCCCGTCTTAGGGACACTCTGACCCCTTCTCTAGGTGTGCTTTGCCTGTGTAGATGGGCAAGAATTCCACCTCGCACAGCTGTGTGGCCTTCACACTGTCGTTCACGCAGATGAGCTGGAGGAGCTGATTCATTACTACCAGGTGAGGCGCTTTGCCAAGCATGCAGATGACAGTGGTATCAACACCAACTAAAGGGAAGGCTGCTCCCTGAGGACATGACCGTCACCAACAGCGTTGCATTTACAGAGAGACATGCATCATACTTACACACGGCATCATGCCTGAGGGAAAGATTCCTTCCATGTGCAGCCACCTGGTTTGTAAGCTACATTCACAGTGTCATGTTAACTTCTCTGGGCCTTACATTGGCTGGTATTGGGCTTTTACAAAATGATCTCTCTCCTCTTGTGTCTGGGCCTTTAGAGGCTAAGTGGCTTACGTAACGGGGACATCCCACAGAAAACTTGCTGCCAGTACTTGGCAAGTCGGGACAGAGCCCCTGTGTGCAGCCCGTAGTATGTGAGGATAAGATGCCCTAAGGACAAATACACAAGAGGGGTCCCAGAAGCATCCGATGAGCAGGCAGGGCACTGTTCACATTGTACCTGGGCTCTGTAATGGAGTGGCTAATGCACATTGTCAGTGCGTTGACAGTGCCAGCCCTCTACCTGTGAGATTCTTGAAGCTGTCTAGTCCTACTTCCCTGAGTGAAAGTAGCACGGAGGGGGCTCCAGCCAGCTCAGGAGAGACAACAGGGCAACAGAGCTGAGGGGTGCTAGGGAAAGCCAGGAGCAACATGGGAACACAATCTTTTGGGGGATGATTTTGCTACAGAGAACAGTAGAAAAGTTGGATGGTGGCTGGGAGGTGACAAGGGGTCAAGCTTTTTGGGCTCTTGGCAGAAAAATCAGAATATTTTCTGAAGGCCCTCTGTGGAGGAGGAATCACTAGAACAGTGGCCTTGGTGGACGACTGCCCATCTAGACAGGAGCACAGGCAGAGTGCCATAGAGTATGCAAATGCTCCAGGCGAGGGGCTCAGAATGAGGTATGAGCCGGGCGTGGTGGCACACGCCTGTAATCCCAGCACTCGGGAGACTGAGGCAGGAGGATCCCTGTGAGTTCAAGACCAGCCTGGGCTACATAGTGAGTTCCGGGTCAGTCTCAACCACATAGTGAGACCCTGTCTGTGGGGGGGGCGGTGATGGAGGTATGGAAGGCGCCCAGGGGTGGAGGAAGAGCGTGAGAGTGTGAGGCAGTCCCTGCAGTGGGCCTTCTCCAGATCTGTGGTCATAATGTGCAGGGATACAGTGCATGTGCTTGGTGTTTCTCCGGGGCTCCAGCATGGCTTTCATTCTGTGACCCAGACTTGACTTATCCAGGGGGCGTGGCTGAGAGGGCTGAGGCCGAGTGCAAGCAGCTGGCGCCACTACTGGGGACCTAGTCACATGACAAGAGGGGACAGTGGTTGCATTCTGAGTGGAGTTAGCTTATCAAAGTCGGGGTTCCTGAAGGAGTGCACTGTGGTGACAGATTAAAGCAAATCACCCTCAGACCGTGTTATGCTCATTTTGTTTTATATTTTTCACATTTCTTTTCATAAAAATGGTAACACTAAGCTGGGTATTGTGTCCACACCCCTGTAATTCCAGCCTTCAGAAGGCTGAGGCAAGAGGATTGGGAGTTTGAGGCCAGCCTGGGGCTACATAGCAAGACCCTGTCTCAAAAAAAAAGTTTTTTTTTTAATACAACACTAATTTGTACTTAAACTTGAGAATTGCAGTGTTATGGGCGATTTCTCAACATTGACCCAATGTGCTCCATCTCGTAACTAGGTGAAGTGGTGTAATCTGCAGTTCTTTGTATCTCCTCAAGATCACTCACAGCCACTGCACTTGGCTTGTACTTGCCCTCTCTTTGGTATGGGTCTGGCTGCGGGCAGGTGCACAGTTCTTTTGCCCTATTTGTGGGTGTTGTTGGTTGCCAGGATCGTGGCTACTTTGAGGAGCTCATCTCCCTGCTGGAGGCAGCCCTGGGCCTGGACCAGGCCCACATGGGCATGTTCACAGAGCTGTCCATCCTCTACTCCAAGTTCAAGCCGCAGAAGATGCCAGAGCACCTGGAGCTCTTCTGGTCTCGGGTCAATATCCCAAAGGTACCTGTGCCCTCCTCAAGGTTCTGGCTGCCAAGTCTTCAAGTAACACATGCCAGTTCTTACCTGTGCCTTCCCTGTTCAGGTGCTGAGGGCCGCAGAGCAGGCACACCTCTGGGCCGAGCTGGTATTTCTCTATGACAAACATGAAGAGTACGATAATGCCATCCTTACCATGATGAGTCACCCCACTGAGGCCTGGAAAGAAAATCAGTTCAAAGATATCATTGCCAAGGTAAGCATTGCCGAGAACCGGAGCCTGCCTGGCTGCCAGCCACTGCCGGGCTTTGTCCTGTGGGTGGGGGACACAAAACTGCCGGCTGCAGTGAAAGAGCACTCAGTCTCGCTGGGCCAAGCAGAACCCTGAACGCTATTGGCTACCACCGCGGTCGGGTGGTGTCGAGTTTGGGTAGTAGCATCAAGCCAGCCATCGCTGCTGTATGTTTCTGGTCAGAGTGCAGCCTCAGGACCTGTCCTCTGCTCAACTCTGCGTGCAGATTAGAAGAGGATGAAATTCTGTCAGTCCCAGGTATCTGTTTTGTTCCCAGTGTCTTGGGGTAAATAACTGGCCCGCCAGCCTCTCCCCTCTGCTATCTGCCAGTGAGAAGGACGCAGCCTGACTGCATCTGGTCCCACCACTTTTCGCTCAGGGCCAGAGCTTTCTGGCAGTTACTGCCTTCCCCGGGGATCTTCTCTTCCATGTGCAGCTGGTGCAGTACTCGCGGGTGGTGGCTGGGGTGCCAAGGGAGGTCTTTGGCTCCTGGGAACTGTGTGGAAGAAGAGTCAGCCTTCAGGTCAGACAACACGCTTACAAGGCCCTCGAGCAGGGCCATCCATGTTACCTGACTTGGAAGTGATGGGGCAGCTCACCTTGTGCAGCATCTGCAGGTTTCTGGTAGAACTCAGGCGGGTAACACGCTGCTGTGGCCCATGCCAGGTGGATAGGTCCACGTGCTGCACCCTCCACACCTAATCTATTCTGTGGTTACCTTTTCTGTTTAACTCCTCAGATATTTAAAATGACATACCCCAGTTGAAGTAGTGCTTATTTCTTAGTGTACATAAAATAACAGCAGTGTAGGGCCAGGGATTTAGCTCAGTGGTGCTGCTGCCTGCCTTGCAAGCCCAAGGACCCGAGTTCAATCCCAGTGCCCAAAAAATAAAAAGATAAATAACGGCAGGAAATATAAAGCCTGTCATGTAGAAGAGCCATGTCTCTCGTCTGCCGTCCATGGGTCTCTAAGGCACGTGATACACAAAGCTTCTGCCACACTGTGCTGTGTGGAAGACACGTAACATCAGGTCCTAACGTGAAGGGCGAACGGTGCAGAAACGACATTCCCAGTCTAACAGGACACTAGCCTGTGCGGGACCAGTCAGTGTGTTACAGACACAAGGGACAAGACGCTGTGGGGTCTACCCAGTACTTGGCCGGGCAGTGACAGGCCAAGCAGGGGACTTGCTGATACAGATGGGGTTGGCATCTGGCCGTGCTACTCACCATCCCTGTCACTGTGGCCCGGGAACATCATCACTGCAAACTTGAGTTATACCTCAGTGAAATGGACACAGTGGTTCCTCCCTACGAGTGGTCGGTGGCAGGGACCTCGATACAGGGGTGCTTCTCATTCATGGTAAGGTGCTGTCATTAGGAGCAACCCAGGTGGTCACCTGGAGTTCGTTGCAAATTCTCCAAAACTGAGAAGTAGCCCTACCCCCTGAGGTGCTGGGGCACAGTGGACATGAGGTGCATGATGCCCTCAGCACAGCTCTAATGGGCACAGCCCATTAGGTGTTCCTGATCCGTTGCAGGGCCAGCAACCTCACCAGGATGTGTCCCAGCATGGCTCCAGGGAACAGCACTGCACAGATGCCAGTGCTCCCTAGGCAAAACAGTAGATGTGGCAGATGGTCCGTAGAACCCACGGAACTCTGGAGGGACAGAGGACTCCAGATCCTGCACCTTAGCGCCAGTGCCTGCGGTGGGAGTGTGGCTAATCGTATCACCCCGAGGGATATACGGCAGGCAGCCTGGTATGCATTTGGACTTGTTTAACAGGGCTGAGAACGTCCATCACCCCGGTGCCCATGTGGGGAAAGCCAGGACGAGTGCCTGGTTTCAGTGACCGCCACCATCAACCCCACCAGCTCACGGCCTGTCGTGAGAGCCTTAGAGATACGTGCGTTCCTGTACTCCGTCCGCTAGGCCCACGGTTATCCTGAGGCACCATGCGGTTGGCAAGCAGTGTAAGTGGGACTTGTCAGGAAAGGTGGCCTTAAAATCTACCTGTGCGCCTCATCCTGTGGGACATCCCTTCTGCTTGTTAGATGACTTGGTAAACGGACTAGCCCGAAAGGATGACAAGTTTCTGAGAGCTAATGTCACCATATCCACGACAACCAGGGAACCAAGGCTGGGGGCAGGCCATTGCACGGGGAGCATTGTAACAGCAGAATCTCTGGTGCCAAGTGCTCCAGCATAAGAGGGAAAGCATGGCCAGGTGCTGTAATCCCAGCACTCTGGGAGACTGCAGCAGGGTGACAATGCATGCTGAGCAGTTTAGACCTGTCTCAAATTAGAGATAAGCTGGGCATGGTAGCACAGGCCTGTAATCCAACACTCGGGAGGCTAAAGCAGGAGGATCACTGTGAGTTTGAGGTCATCTTCGGCTACATAGTGAGTTCAAGGCCAGCCTGAGCTACATAGTGAGACCCTGTCTCAAAAATCAAAACAAACAAAATGTATCAAAAGGGCTGGGGATTTAGCTCAGTGTGAAGGCCCTGAGTTTGATCCCAAGTACTGAAAGAAAAAGGAAAAAAATTAAAAAAGCAAAAGCACAAAGAAGCAAGAGAGGCTAAAGTAGTTGGTAAACCATGGAAGGCCACAGTGGCACTCGCCTCCAGCCTGCTGGCCTGCATACCTCGTCAGGCCCCACACAGCTGCTGGGCCACTAACTCCAGCCTTGGAGGTGCCCACTGTGCTCATGCCTGACCCCTGGCGGGGCTGATGCACTGGGCATGTCCCATGTACACTCCGGTGTCCCTGCTTGCTTATATGGACACACAACATGCTGGCCTGGGTCATTCCCTTCCAGAAGCCAAACACCACCTTCCCCATGAACAGCAGAGCTCTGTGCAGGCCCTGGACATCATTCTGTAGTCACAGGCTATGAAGTGACTTGCCAGTGAAGAAGAGAGTGGCAGCAAGCCAAGGGAGAGGGACCCGTGGCCTCGTCCACCAGAATGACCAGTCCTCTTCTGTGGGTGCCTCTTGGCCTCGGGCTACTGTTGGGTTCATTAAGGTCTGAGAGTCACAGTCTTTGGCTTAAAAGCACTGGAGGTGTATTAGGATGCACTGCCGACATGGTTACAGAACAGGAAGGGCTGGAGGCATCTCCCTGAATAAAACACTGTGATTCTTCGTTTTGATGTTTGGGTTTATTCTGGCTCAGTATACTTCATTTGCTTAACAGCTGGAGCATCTGCTACTGATAGAGCATCAGTCTGTGTCAGATACTGGTGTAGCTGCGAGGATGAGGCAGGCAAGAAACAAGAATCCACAGGGTGTCATGTTTCTGTGGAGAAAAGTTCCACAGAAATGGAAAGGATATGTCGGGCCCTTCAGTTACGTGGGTGTCAAGACAGGTCTCACCCTACGGTGCCATTCGAACAAAAACCAGAAGGTGGCGCAGTGGAGCTGGGGAGGCCGGACAGGGACTGATCCTCGGCTTTGCTCCCTTCCAGGTGGCCAATGTGGAGCTCTATTACAAAGCCCTGCAGTTCTGCTTGGATTACAAGCCTTTGCTCGTAAATGACCTGCTCCTGGTGCTGTCACCCCGGCTAGACCACACCAGGACCGTCAGCTTCTTCTCAAAGGTGAGTTGGCCAGAACCCCGTGTCTGAAGAGAAAGGGTGTCAGGAAAGCGCTGCTGAGGCCACTTGGAAGGTAGCACCTTCTTCAACAGATCTTAAATTTCCATATTCCATTTACTAGAGTGCTTTAGGCTTCAGGTACAAGTTTGTATTCCCAGCTGGGCGTGGTGGCGCAGCCTGTAATCCCAGCACTCGGGAGGCTGAGGCAGGAGGATCGCTGTGAGTTCGAGACCAGCCTGGGCTACATAGTGAGCTCTGGGTCAGTCTCAACTACATAGTGAGACCCTGTCTCAAAAAACCAAAACAAAAAGCGATTGTATTCCCATCCCTACCCACAAATTAAGCAGTATTGAATGAGTGTCCCAAACTGTCCCCTTTGTATCGGTGTGTGTAGGCCTATTGGTCTTCGTTGTCTGGAAGGTACCCTGTGGCTCCTAGACTAACCTGTGCCGACCTACACCTCTCATTGGTGTGTTCTGGGTACCCCCTACCCAGACCAAGGGCCTTGACCATTTTCCCCACTTGTCAGGCAGGCCAGCTGCCCCTGGTGAAGCCTTACCTACGGTCCGTCCAGAGCTGTAACAACAAGAGTGTGAATGAGGCAGTCAACCACCTGCTGACCGAGGAGGAAGACTATCAGGTGGGTGTGGGTAAGGCAGCCCAGATGCTGACAGGCCCCTCCGTACCTGCCAGCCATTCCCACAGCAGGCTGTGGGCACCAGTAGGCAGGTGGGCGGGGGTCTCTTTGTATTCCTGGTGCCCTTCTCCCTGCCTCCCACCTCACAGAAGGGCTGTCTTCCTAGGGCTTGAGGGTATCTATCGATGCCTATGACAACTTTGACAACGTCAGCCTGGCTTAGCACCTGGAGAAGAACCCGCTGATTGAGTTCAGGCGCATTGCAGCCCATCTGTACACGGCCGACAACCGGTGGACTGAGAGCGTGGAACTCTGCAAGAAGGACCGTCTCTACAAGGTTGGTGGCCACAGCCTGTTTCACTTTGGACCAGCCACTTTGCTGTACTTCCTGATGCCTTGAGGGAGGTGCAGTAAGGAATCTCACGCCCTTTCCTCTCCCTAAGACCTGACTCAGTTTTACCGGGAGATCCTCAAGGGGGATTAGAAGATTGATGGTAAGGGAGGATTGTTTTTAGAACATGAATTGAAAGTTGGGAGAGGTCTCAAGCCCCTTAGAAATGATTTAGTTGGATTGAACAGCTCTTAGAGTCCTGGAGTTGATTCTTCTCCAGCAGGTACATGAGTTTTACTGTAGCCCAGCCTGGTCTCGGACTCCCCACAGTACCCTGCTTAGCCTCCTGAGCGCTGGGATTACATGTGTGTACCACCACACCCAGTGTAAGATCCACTTCTAGTCACCACTCTAATTTCTGTCAAGATTGTACAATTTTTAAAACTATGTTTCAGTGATTTGTTTCTGCCAGTGAGAGGGGTTCAGCATCACCGTGAGATTTAAATCCGGGAATCTGCTAGTCAGGTTGGGCTGCCCAGAGGAACTGTCAAGGCCCTGAAGGCATTGCCAACTTCCGCTCAGTTGACCGGCCACTGGGACCAAGAGCTGTGCACTGGGCCCTTGTGGTGACACATATGTGGCTCCACGTGCTGGGGCTGCAACTACTAGGAAAGCAGGTAGTGGTCTGGACCTGACGATGTTAGTCCTCTAGGGTGTCTGGACATCACGGGCCTAGCACAGGAGCCCCACTGTCACAGCGCCCGAGCTGTGGCTTAGACCCCACCAAATCCCGTGACCCTTGATGTCAGAACTACATGAAGCTTCGCCCCAGGTTGTCACCTCCGATGTCTTGGGTTGTTCCATGACTCTAGCCCTTAGTCACAGTCCTTGTGGTCCTTCCCGAGAGCCGATAAAGCACCTGCAGAAGGACCCAAGAAGAAATGCTGGTGAGACCCTGAGATCACACGGAAGGTACCGGGAGCTGGCTGCTGGGAGGCAGTGGTAGGATCAGACACGTCTTGTCCCTCCAGTCACGGCCACTCAGTCCTGTCCCCAGGCTCCCTGCCAGAGACGTGCGTGCACGGCTTCCTCACCGGCAGACTCTGATGAGTTAGCGGTGGGGTGGCCTCCTGCAGCCGGGGAGCCCCTCAGAGCCTGTGAAACAAGACCACCGGTAGCCTGGAGCAGCGAGTCTGGCCCCCGGGGAGCTTGTATTTGGCACAGCCGTGAACATGGCGCTCCACACAGGCGGTAGAGCGCAGCGATGGTGCCCAGGAGTCCCCGACGTTCAGGTGATTCCCTTGCAGGTGTTGGCACTGCCACGCGGGAGCAGCGTTAGACCCTCCCGGGAATCCTTTTCATGTCACATTGCGCTCAGTTAGGGAAAAGTATTCCCAGCAGAGTTAGATAGAAGCAGCCTGGACAGTGGCAGCTTGAAGCCTGAAGTACAGTCAGGTTGGCCACCATCTGGAGCCACGTAGGTGAGACAGGCCAGGCAAGAGCCAAGGAAGGACCAGGACCCTGTCGCACCTGTGGGTAAACAGCGAGAGCCACGAGCAGTGAAGTAGGTGTAGGCACGGAGGGGTGCGGCCACAGCAGTGTCCTGGAGGAGAGGTAGACACAGACAGACAGGAATCCAGAGCGACCCTGGGAGTGGCGCCGGCCAGCTGACGATGAGAAAGGGGAGGGCTGCGGGTTCCAGGCTGCAAGAGAGGGGTGCCGGGGAACAGCCGCGCTGGGCTCCTAGAGCTTCTGTGTCCTCTAGAAAGCCGCTCGAGGCAGCGGGACTCAGTCTGGAGCCCAGGGCTCTGGAAAGGCCCAAGCCCCGTGGGAGACAGCGCACAGAGGCAGAGGTTAAAGACCAGCCGAGGGTGGCCAAGCCAAACACCCGTGACCGCATGGCATCAGAAGTCCTCAGAGGAGCCCTGCGGGCTTCCTGGAGCTTTCACTCGATCTCAGCAGACTGTACCACCTGTGTGGGCTGAGGCAGGACTGAGCAAGCAACTGGGAATTGGTTCAGGAGGAAGGATGTGAGGGCCACCCCGGGCTGGCTCAGCAGGGCTTACTGAAAAGTATCTCCGAGTGGAACTCGGCTCATGTCGGAGCGGCAGTGGGTCCGTGCTCCCGGTCCTCTCCACAAGCTATGCCCAGATCGCACACAGTCAGTGAGGAACTAGTTGAATGACCACGGACAAGTGACTTCACCTCAGGGTCTCAGTCGCCTAGTCTTTGAAAAGGGCCAGTGACACCTGCTGCAAAGAGTTACGCCAAAGCTGAGGCAAGCTGGCTCATGGGGCTAGAAATAGCCGCAAGAGAACTACGCACTAGTTTCCTACCTAACAATGTGGGTAGCTTTTTGTAAATGATGTTTTAGACTAAGGCATTTGCAAGTTTGAAAACAGCAATTAGAGGTTTTGAGGGACTTGAAGAAAAGGCAGATTGCTGTCTCCTAAGCAGGAGTCCCACCCTTGTAGCTCGCTGTTCCCTCCACACTGGGTCAGGTTCCAGAGGGAGGCAGTCAGTGGGCCTGAGCGAGTACCCTCCCAAAGCTCCCCAGAGCAACCCTGCACACTCCCTGTGCTCTGCTCCCAGGTCCCTGTCCCTGAGGTGGAGCCGTGTCTCCTGGAGTGTCACACCTGTCTGTGCCGTTTTGGGGCAGCTCCGGGACTGAGGGGACCACACTCGGTCCCCGACAGACGCCCTGGAGATGGCCCTCCCATTTCTTAGAGGACAGCAGGTGCTCAGGGCATTTCAGGCGTGTCCACACTTGCTCTGCACAGAAAGGGAGCCTTCGTGGAACCTGGCACTGCTACCCTGCCCAACCACTTGCAGGCTCAAGGCCTCTGCTGAGCAGGGTGGCCCATGCTTTGTGTTTGCCTCGGCCACAGGACGCCATGCAGCATGCTGCAGAATCACGTGATCCTGAGCTTGCCAAGAAGTTGCTGCAGTGGTTCCTGGAGGAAGGCAAGCCAGAGTGCTTCGCAGCCTCTCTCCTCACCTGCTGTGGCCTGCGTCACCCACATGTGGTACTCGAACTGGCCCGGAGACACAGCCTCACCGACTTTGCCATGCCCTACTCCATCCAGGTGAGTCCTGGACCCTGCACGGCACAGCCCATCCCTGGCCGTGACCCTGGCTCTGGGCCTGCTCGATGACAGCCCAGGTTGCCCGACAAGTCCTGGCCTGCCTCCGGGAACGGCCTTTCCCATCCATGATCAAGTACGACATCTGTACAATATTACCCACTGGAAAAATCACTGCAGGGCACTGAGCAGCACTGAGCACTCGCTGCTCACAGCAGCTCTCCTCTGCCTTGCCTGGGTAGCTGCGGCAGCACACACTGCTTGGGAGCAGAGCGGGCCTGCTTGGTGGTGCCAGCGCTCCTTGGAGCCTCCGGCACACAGCCCATTGGACTCCATGCGGACCAGGCTGTCTGCCCTCAGAGCGCCCAAGAGACTCTCAGTGTAGCGGTTAGCAACCATTTTGGTGGTGACCTCCTTCTGCCCAGCACTTGGTAGAAGTATTACCACATTGCTTCGTCTTTGCAACAGCTATAGAGAGGACGACTTTACCTTCCTCACTGAGGTGACCGTGACCGTGTCTGGGTAGCAAAGTCCTACGAAAAACAAGAGCCAAGGTATATTATGTAAAGGTATCAATTCCCGATGATGAATGTCACTAGATGGTATACCTAAAATGTACCAATAAATTTAATTTTTTAAAAGTTCTAGGAGGCCCTTCTGGGATCCGGCTTCAGCCACTGTCCAGAGATCTGTGTCACCTGGCCCAGTTGTTTGTAGCACTACTGAAAAGCTATCTGTTGACAGCACCTTCTTGCCCTTCCCCCCACACACCGAGCCTCCTACAAAGCAGCCTTCTACAAGCCTCCTGCTGAGGCTTCTTGCCACGGTGTGAGGAAAGAGTGCCTGGGTCGGTGTGAGCTAGGACAGAAACAGTAACATGGTGCCTCAGGGCTGCCTGCTGTCTGCCCAGCCCTTGAGGAGAGCCGCCTGAGAGAGCAGTCGGGGCCGTCACCCTGCTGCGCCATAGTGAACCAGTCCCTTCACCCAGCATGTCTGGACACTCCCTGGGGACCTTCCCGGCTGAGGGAAAGCAGTCTTGCCTCATGGCCTGAGTCCCAGGAGACACAAACTGGTTGGATTTAGAAGGCTGTTGCTTCCCCCAACACAGTGGGGTAGTAGCTCCCTGTAGAAGGCATGTGTTGTGTGGAGTTGCTGCAGGAACTGCACATTCTCAAAGTGAGCTGCCTTCTCCTTTCCTTGCAGTGTAATGACCTGCAAGTGGCTGACTTTTTGGAGGCCCTGCCAAGGACAAGTGTAGCTTGAAACTCTCTGAGACAGTAGAGGCCCATGGGTTAACACGTGAGGAATGCAGGCCCACCCAGACCTCAAAGCAGGAAACATCTCCTGTGGATTTGGGGGCTCGTGTACACCGTGTGTTGTGGTTGATGGTGTTTGTGGCCGTTGTTAAACTTGGACGGCACTGCAGCTGCACAGCTAACCCAGGGTTGGCCAACGATTCTCAGTCACTTGCTAGCTCCGGGGCTCTCAGTCACCGGCTACCCACTCTCTGCCCCCAAAACTGTTTTTGCCAGAGCCAGATAAGATGCCTGTCACCACGGGGAGGGCTCTGTGGTGTGTCCCTGTGTTCAGAGGAAGACGGAGGCTGGAGGCTGGAGGCCCAAGAAGCCTCTGAGCTAGAACTGCAGCTGGGGCTTCACTAGGGATCTGCCGGCTCCCCAGATCCCCAGCCTTCACCTCACTGTGGCCTCCCTGCACTGGAGTGGAATGGGGTGTAGCACAGGCCACTGACACCGCTCCCGTCCACATGCTCAACTCCGAACTGTCCGAGGGGCCTCCTGCTCCATGTCCACCGAGAGCGTAGGCTGTTTTCTGTCAGGTAGATGCTCACCTGCTCCCGCTTCTCACAGGTTGACGAACTGGATGCCGTAGAGAGCCTGTGCAAGCAAGAGCAGCATGTTGGGGCGCCCACCCCGCTCATGTCTGGTAGGCGGCACCCTGGGGTGGGAAAGGCTACCGGCATTCACACTACCCTGGCTGGGCTTCAGGTGGAGATAGGCTGGCTGTGGTGGCACATGCCTGTCATTCCAGTACTCGGGAGACTGAGGCAGGAGGATTGCTTCGAGTTCAAGGAGAGCTAGATAGTTCAAGGTCAGCCTGAACTATAAAGCCAGACCGGTCTTTAAAAAAAATGATGGGGATAAAGATGGAAATGGAGGCCAGGGATTTAGCTCAGTGGTTCTGCCTCCTGCCTCGAGAGCATAAGGTCCTGAGTTTGGTCCCTGGTACGAGGGGAAAAAAAAAAAGACGGAAATGGCTGGGTAGAGCAGGAAGAAGCAGCCCAGGGGCTCCCAGCATGGAAGTCCGTGTGTCAGGAGCACTGGCATGCCCCGCATCCTCCACATCCTGACAGGGGTGCTCCCCGGGGCTGCCCTGCTTCTGCGTCTTGCCCTGACTGGTCCTGGGCATCACGGCTGTTGCTTGCTTTTGCCGGAAGGTCTTTGCACGTAAGAACCTGCCCGGGATGGCCTGGTGCGAAGCAGACTGGAGAGCCTGTTGTGTCTAAGTGCACACTGCAGGGCTAACGCAGCATGCAGCACAACAGCTGGGCTCCAGTGCGTCCTCCCCAGGGTTGGGCTACCCGTGTGCCATTACTGTCCATCTGATTTTTTTAGATCTTGTTGGGCACGAATGAGACTCAGCTGATTGTGCTCAGTAAGTGTCCCACTTTTCTCCCACATATCCACTGCCCTGTGCCTCAGGCTGGTCCTAGCAACCCTGCTTCTTTGGCCCCTAGCTCAGGAGCAGCCGAGAGAGGAGCTCTGCTCACCGTGGGCTTCTCCCTCTATAGGCCAGCAGCTGATACTGACGGCGGGTCCTGCGGCGGCGCAGCCCCTGCGGGCTTCCCCTGGATGCTCAGCCACGTCGGCCTCCGTGCATGGCTTCAGTGTGCAGCGGGAGCGGGAGCCAGAAGGCATTAGCCTTTCCAAGAAACATGGCACTCCGAAAGCACAGAGGACTCCCACTTGGGAGAAGGATGCCTGGATATTATTTATTTTTGCTGAGGCCTATTGACACCACTTCTGAGCCCTCGCAGGGCCTGGGGAGGCCAAGGTAGACAGTGACTGCCCACGAAGACCACCACCAGTTGCCGGCAGGAAGGTGGTCGCCTGCCGGTTGGGCCTCTGGCTGGAGCCAGGCGTGGCTAGGGACCCTCGTCTGCAAGGATTCCCTGGAGTTTAGGAGGGGCGCTCTTCACTCCAGCTTGGCTAGAGCTCCCCCTCCAGACCGCTTTGCGGACACAATAGGAACATTTCATTAACAGGACTCAGCCTCCCGCCGACCATGAATATTAAAATCGGTTTCTCAAGGCGAAGTTTCTCTGCTTGATGCTCGTTTGGGTGGGAGGGACGGACGGGAGCGGCTTCCCTAGGCCCTGCAACCTACTAAAGGGAGCCTGGGACCTCTTGGGTCCAGGGGACCTGGGTGTGCCCAGAAAAACAGCATGGGACAATGCAGCCGGGTTGGATTTAGGTCTTTTCCTGAACACACTTGCTGCACGGAGCTCTAAATCCGGGAGTGGAGCAGGGTAGTAATCACAGCCCGTGGGGTGTCCCAGGCCACGCTCGAACCACAGGGAGGGGACTGTGCAAGTGTCTTGGGGAGGGCCTGCTAAGGATCCCCGGGATTCTGTGCTTCGGGCCGACTCCGGGGTTCGCCGCGGGCGCTATGGGAACCGCACCTTGACCCACACTGCCCGGGTGGCGAAGCGCCACCTCAGAAGACTCCTCCGTCGGCCCGCAGGGGGGCCCGGCGTCGGCCATTGGTTGCGCTCCG